TGGCGGGGTGCCGTGGGGGGGCTCCTCACCCCCAGCAGCTGCCCGCCTGCGCCCTGAAACCACCACTGCCTGCAGGTGCCCACGGGGTCACTCCCTGCCCCCCAAAGGCGGGCAGCGTGGGGGAGCAGACCCCTCTCGGAGCAGCATGGGGGGGTCAGTCCCCTCAGAGCAGCATGGAGGGGATGGACCCCTGTCGGAGCAGTGTCGTGGGGTCAGACCTGTCTTGGAGCAACATGGGGAGGCCATTCCCTTCTTGGAGCAATATTTTGGGCTTAAACCCCTCTCGGAGCAGCATGATGGAGTCAGACGCCTCTCAGAGTCGTGTCACGGGGTCAGACCCCTCTTGGAGCAGGATTTTGGGCTCAGACCCTTCTCAGAGCAGCGTGGGGGGGACAGGCCCCTCTCAAAGCAGCCTCGGGGGTCAGACCTCTTGGAGCAGCGTGGTGGGGTCAGACCCCTCTCAGAGCAGTGTCATGGGGGGGTCCAGGACCCCCATAGCCCCATGCAGTGGGATCACCTTGGCTCCGGCTCTGGTCCCTTTCTCAGGGCTTTCCCTTTGGAGGCATTAGGCAAAAGCCGGTGTGCTGGTACAGGGGACAGTGGCTTCGGCAGTGCTGGTGGCATCTCCCAGCAACGTCTCGAATGCCAGGGTGTCCGTACAGGCTTCTGGCAGAGGTCTGTGCTTTAGGGAGAAGGAGGAGGAAGGAGGGGACACCGGAACCACCCCAGGGATGCTCCCAGCTCTTCCGGCCATCCCCTCTCTGCTGCCATCAGCTCTGTCACGGTGCAGAAGTCACCGCTCGGGGTGCCGTGCCATGCTGGTTCAGTCCACCTGACGGCACGGCTGCTGAGTGGCAAATCTGAGCCTAATCTGAGCATCCCCCGCGGGCTCCCCGCTTGGTCCCCGGGGACGTCCCATCCCCAGAAAACCCCTGCAGCTCATTTACCGCGCGCTTTGCAGAGCCTGGTAGAAGATCACCCGCGTGGCAGTTGCGGCGAGGTCGGTGTAATAAATCGGTATTACCTCATCCCAAATTTCCAGCGAGGCGGGGAGCCGGCAGCAGAGCGTGGTGGTATATGGGAGCTCCCCTCGGGGGACGGGTCCCTCTCCACCAGTCTCGGGGGGGTCCCTGGGGACTGGAGGGAGGGATGCTGCTGGGTTTGGCTGGAGGGATGCTCTTGGTTATGGGGTGAAGGCTGGGTGCTGTAGGGGGTGGGAAGCCAGGGCTGCCCCCTCACCCACGGGTGACTCCCTGTCCCCTGTGCTGGGCCACCCACGGCGCCACAGGAGCTGGAGCTGATGGAGAACATCTTGACGAGCAAGCAGGACGAGAGCTGGGAGCAGCGGGGCCCCCGGGCCTCCTTCACCCGCCAGGAACGGAGCCGCCTGCTCTGGGAGGATGTCAGCGTCATGGAGGAGGATGCCACCAAAGTCACCGCCCTGAAGCTGAGGCTGGATGAGTCCCAAAAAGTGCTGCTCAAGGAGCGGGAGTGAGTGCTCAGGGCGTCATCCTCGTGGGGTGCCAGCCGAGCCCAGCCCAGTCCCCACTGGGATGGGACGTCCCATGGGGTCCTGCCGGCTGTCACCAGCGTTGCCTCTCCCCAGGGACAAGCTGGCGCTCAGCAAGAGCATTGAGAAGCTGGAGGGCGAGCTCAGCCAGTGGAAGATCAAGTATGAAGAGCTCAACAAGAGCAAGCAGGAGGTGATGAAGCAGGTGAGCGAGGTGCCTGGGGATCAGGGGTGCCCCGGGGGGGTGGCCTGTGCCCTGGGGGGTGGCGTGCCCTGATGGTTGGACATGGTGACCTACAGCCACCTCCCCAACTCCAGGGTGCTCATTAAGGGTCCTAATTAGTGCTATAGAGCCAGTTGGTCCGTCCACAGAGGTTGGGTGGATGGGTGCAGGCAGGGCTTGGGTGGTGCAAGGTGGGTGCTCGCTGCCCGCCTTGGGTGCTGTGTCCCCCCCACAGCTCAACATCCTGAAGGAGATCCACCAGGACGAGCTGGGGCGCATCTCTGAGGACCTGGAGGACGAGCTGGGTGCTCGCTCCAGCATGGACAAGAAGCTGGCCGAGCTGCGCGCAGAGGTAAGGCCAAACCCCAATGCGGGGGGCGAAGGGAGTGGTGAGGGGGGTCCCCACTGCCCCCCGGCCACCCCATGTCCCTGTCCCAGATGGAGCGGCTGCAGGCGGAGAATGCGGCCGAGTGGGGCCGGCGGGAGCGGCTGGAGACAGAGAAGCTCAACCTGGAGCGGGAGAACAAGAAGCTGCGGGCGCAGATCGAGGACCTGGAGGAGGTGCTGGCTCGCAAGCGGCGCCAGACGGCCAGCGCCCTGGACACCGACCTCAAAACCATCCAGGCCGAGCTCTTCGAGAAGAACAAGGTGCCATGGGGGTGGTCCTGTCCCCCACCACCCCTTCCCTGGGTGACCCTGTCACTTCAGCGGTGGCTCGGCATCCCCCAGGACCTCCTCAAGCCCAAACTCTGCCACCACCCTTCATGTAGGGGATGGTGGTCACCCTGTCCTTCCTCCATCAGCTCCTCCATCATGGGGTGAGGTGGTGGGAGAGGTCCCTGGGGAGGGAGAAGGGGGCACCCGACAGTGGGGGTGGCTCTCACCCGCTCAGCCCCCCACCCCATGCCCACTGCAGGAGCTGGCCGACCTGAAGCACATCCACACCAAGCTGAAGAAGCAGTACCAGGAGAAGATGGCTGAGCTGGCCCATGCCAACCGCCGCGTGGAGCAGCACGAGGGCGAGGTGAAGAAGCTGCGCCTGAGGGTGGAGGAGCTGAAGAAGGAGCTGGCCCAAGCCGAGGACGAGGTGGGGAAGCTTGTGCTGGTGGAGGGGGTCAGGGTGGGCAGCTCCGCTCCCTCTGTGGCTGCCGACAGCCCTGCCCCATCCCATCCCATCCCATCCTATCCCATCCCATGCCGCAGCTGGATGAGGCCCACAACCAGACGCGGAAGCTGCAGCGGTCGCTGGATGAGCAGACGGAGCAGAGCGAGAGCTTCCAGGTGCAGCTGGAGCATCTGCAGTCCCGGTGAGTGGGGGACTGGGGTGGGCCATGGTGGGGACCAGCAAGGACCCAAGGGTGGGATGACGTTCTCCTTGCCACCATCCCTCAACCGGCATCTCCCTGGTTGAACCCCGGGCTAAGCGGGGCCAAAGCGCCTCCAACGTCCTTGGAGGGTGTGCAGCCATCCTTGGAGCAGCCTTCACCCCGCTGCAAGCTGGATGGCATTCACCTCCCAGTTAAACCGGCACAAGGCTGCCCACAGACCAGTACAGCCCAGTTTCACGCCGCTTGGGGTTTGACCTGCTGGTACCCAGGGCCAGGGCAGGCTCCGAGCATCCCACGCCGGTTTGGGGAGGAGGGAGGTGGGTTTTATTGCCCTTAAAAACTTTCCCTGGCCTCGCCTCGCCTCTCCAGCAGTAAAGAGCTGAAATGGCCTTGAGAGATCGATGCCGCGTCTCCGGGAGGCGCTGGGGGGGTTGTGTTTATAATCTTCCTTTATTTTATTGGGACATCTTCATTAAATCATGGAGGAATAATGGAGGCTTCGTCTTCCCCCTCTCCAGCCTCCCCGTGCACTCATCCTTAAATAATTCATGCTTTCCAGTAAAACGCAGCAAACTGGTCGGATCTGACCAGGTCCTGGGCCTTCTGATTTCAAGTTTGCTTTATAAATTTATGTTGATGAATTTTCACGCGAGGGCGAGTGAGGAGCTAAAACCACCACAGGCTTCCGGGAATGGGGACTCTTGGGGTTTTTTTGGGTGATCCCAATTTTAGGGGGACGACTCCTCCCTGCTCTGCACTCTCGGCTGGGTCCGAGATGCCCGGCGTGGCAGTGTCTGGCCCTGGAGGGTTTTAGCTTGTGCCTTGCTTGTGCCGAGCATCATCTGGGACTCCCCAGCCCCGCGCCAGAGGGTCGGCCCCGGGATGGGGGGGCTGATCCTGCACCCAGAGCTTGGTGGGAGCTGCAGAAATGGAGTCACACCAGAGTGCAGCCATGCTGTAGGGGTGCGGGGGGACGGGCTCGGCTTTGGCATCCCCCCGGGGCTGCGCCCTGCCACCCCCCACCCCGGCAGCTCTCCCTTGGCAGGTTGCGGCGGCAGCAGAGCACCCCGCTTTTTGGCAAGATGCGCAGCACCCGCTTCGGCCCCGACGACACCGGGGACGGCACCAGCGACCCCGATGAGGATGAGGACCTGCAGATCCAGGTGCCCTAGAGCCCAGGGCCAGGTGCCACCGCCGCGGGGACATCCCATGGCGGGTGCCCTCCCCCCACACCTCACCCCACTGTCACCGCGGGGCCCGGCCATGCAGTGACCCTCATGTAGATGGGGAAACTGAGGCACGGAGCGGTGGGGCGGAATTTGCCCGGGGATGCTCCAAGCCCGCTGCCTCTTGGACAGTATCTGATGCCCCTCGGCCACTGGCCTTTCCTGGGACATGGATGTGGCCACCAAAGCCAGCATCACTGAGCAGCCCAGGAGGAGGAAGCGCAGGGCAGAGAGGGACACCAAGCCCTGCAGCCAGCCACACGCTCCTGCCCACATTTTTATATATATGTTATATATATGTATGTATTTGTATATGATTTTTTTATTATAAATACAGAGCCCAGAGGGGCCCAGGCTCTGGTGGTGGCTTGGGCCGCTGCTCTGTCCTCATGCAGGAGCAAGGATGGAGGGGACGGCAGGGGGACAGCATCGGGGAGACACGGTGTTTCTCTGCAAGCCGCATGCGGGGCTGGATGTGTGGCTGCTGGCGTCATCCCGCTGCCATCGCTGTCCCCACACCTGGGGACGAGCCCGGCTCATGGGTAAAGCCCGTCCCCGTGCCCGTGAAGTGAGAAGCGGGGGCTGCGGAGCGGCTCATGGCCATAGAGGTGCCTGCGTCTGCAGGGCTGTGGCCGGGCAGGCAGAGGTGCGCACCTGTGGGTGCTCACCCGTGGGTGCAGGGTGCTCTCCCTGGGGAGGTGCAGGGGTGCTCACCTATGGGTGCTGGGTTGCTCACCCGTGGGTGCAGGGTGCTTGCCCTGGGGAGGTGCAGGGATGCTCACCCATGGGCGCTGGGCTGCTCACCTGTGGGTGCAGGGTGCTCGCCCTGCGGAGGTGCAGGGGTGTTCACCTATGGGTGCTGGGCTGCTCACCTGTGGGTGCAGGGTGCTCGCCCTGTGGAGGTGCAGGGGTGTTCACCTATGGGTGCTGGGTGCTCGCCCTGGGGAGGTGCAGGGGTGCTCACCCATGGGTGCTGGGCTGCTCACCTGTGGGTGCTGGGTGCTCGCCCTGGGGAGGTACAGGGGTGCTCACCCATGGGTGCTGGGCTGCTCACCCGTGGGTGGAGGTTGCTCACCCTGTGGAGGTGCAGGGGTGTTCACCTATGGGTGCTGACCCCCCCAGCCCAGGCCCCTGCAGCCCAGCCCCTGCGGCCAGCCCACAGAGCGGGGCCTCGTGGGGCTTTGGAGGAGCTCAGACACAACCTTATTAAAAATTAATATTTCAGTGAGCTAATCCCCTCGCTCTGCCTTTTAATTGATTGGCTAAAAGCACGGCTCTTTGCTGCTCGCGTTGTTTTTTTTAATGCCCTTTTATTTGCAGCAATTACTCATTTTTTTATGGCCCAACAAAGGAGGCTGTGGGGGTGGAGGTGCCTGCAG